GCTGGGCAGGGCGGTCTGCTCCACTGCAGGCCTGGCCCCTTCCCTCTGCTCCCTGACTGGAGCTCAGCACAGAATTGCAGGCATAGAGCGTCTGCCTGGCTTCTCTCTGCTAAGGAGGGATTATTCCCACCTCCCCGCTGCTTTATGCAGACACCTCAACCTTAGCTAGCAGACCACATGTTGGCTATGGTCCATGCTGTGGGAGAGGCCAGAGGCAGGCAGGCTTTTTGGACCTAATCAATGGGTAGCTTAATGTCCTTCCTTGGAAGAGCAGTTTAATAAGAGCTCCATTAGTTAATGGAGATGCTTTGTTTTCTTAATGAGTTGATAAACACTGAGTTAACGGTGATAAACATTCCCTGATGGGCTGCTCAGAAGAGGGGGAGAATAATCAGAGCTTCCTGCTAGGGCCCTCCCCTCAGCTCTGCCCTGTGGAAGTCAAGGGAGGCCTGCTCTAGCACCCCCTGGCTTCTAGCCTGAGCCACTGCAGACATGTGGCTGCATTTCTGGGAAGTCTGTCTGGGTTATAAACTGATTTAGCCTAGCCAGGTTAGAGTATCCAGAAAAAATTGAATCAATTCAGGCTCAGGCTTTTTGAATGTCTGTCCCTAGCCTATATATCTGGCCCCATGGATCTTGCATTCCTCTCTACACAAACCAGCTTCAACAGCGGATGTGAAGGACGCTCCCAGCCCAGCCTAATCTGTACTGTGTAGTCAGGGCATTCCTCCTGAGAAGCAGGAGCTGTGGGTTGGAATCCCCTCAAGCTGAGGAGTATACTGACCCCAGAAGTCCCATCTCTAGGACAAATGTTGTAACCAAAAGAGAGGCACCATCTTTTACTCTAGCCATGTTTTACAGGCAAGTGGCTGTGCCATGCTTTTTATTTTCAATACTGTCAGTGTTTGATAGGTTGGCTTAGGTCCATATTACATGGATTTAGGCCTCTCAGAGGACTTCAATGCAAGACATTTGATTTCTGAAGCCTGAATGGCCTTAGACATGAGGCAGGCATTGAGAAATTTGGCTCAGCCAAGATGGTGGCACTTCTGAGCCCAGTAGCAGATCTTTACCTTGACTCAAGGAGCTTACATTTATGGGACTGCAAATTTTCTACAGAATTTCTGGTGTCCAGAAGCACCACTCTCTTTCTGTGTAACACCATACAGATCAGTAGCACTTCATAAATAATGACAATACTCCTCTTATGAACTCAGAGAATATTTGGCAGAATTCATGGGTACCTGTTGCATAGTGTTTCAGCCACAGCAATTATTTGAAATAATTAGTTGAGACCAAACTAAAGTACTTACTTGTGTGGGTGAGCATTTACTCACACACATAGTTGTGTTGAGTTCATTGAGACTACTTAATAAGGACGATTGCTTTGTAATGTGCATACAGATTCAGTTTGGCCTGGAGTTTTTAACTGATGACCCATAACCATCTTTTCAAATGTCACATGTATGTTGTATACCTAATCTTTTGTGCATCCTGGTAAAAAGTAGTTCTTTAATTTCAAGTGTCCCCATGAATTCTTAGCCAGTATATGAAGATTTCAAGTGTGCATAAAACAACACAAATCAAATAAACTGAAAAGCTAAATGGTGCTGCCTGAAAGAAAAAAGAAAACACTGAATCATTGTCCAAAAGGTGCAGCCGTTAGAGGATAATAATCGGTTTTGTTTGCAGTGCAGCTGGGTCCACAGTTGCAGAAGGAAAGTCCTCGGTGACCTGTGCAATAGCTCTGTTTGTTTAATTTGCTAAAACAAAGAACTGCAAAGCAGACGGGTTCCTCCCAAGTATTCACAATGCTCCTCTCTCTCCCTCTGTCTTTATACCTCATTCTTGGTCTATGTGTATGTGTATATGCTTCAAATGCAACTATCATGGACTTTTTTTTATGCCTTCCGTTCTGTCTCTCTCATCTCTGTGCTGAGGCATTCCCTTATCCTCAAGTTACTTTAGTTTTGGATTTGGATAATAAAGCTAGGACTATTAAGTCAAGAAGCTATTATTTTACAGTTGTTTTTATAAGTTGCCTTCTTTTGTAGCAAGCTCTTCGTAAGGTCAAAAGGACTCTATTTGCCTGCCCAACTTCTGACTTTTCTTCTGTATGTTTGACAAGTATAGCCCTTTGCTATCTTTCTAATGGGAAGAAGTCAGTGATTAAAAATTAGATTCTGCCTGTACAAACAAAATCAGTTCTGTTACCAGGCATGTGCCCAGCTCTGTTAGTAGTGTGCCAGCAGGGGTTGGTGTCACAAATTATTTTGTCAAGGAATGTCCAAGCAGGAGCTTTAAAAAGCACCCAGAAGAGTAAGCAGGAGAAGAGAAAGCAAGCTGTTAGTAGAACATCTTGATACAAGAAGAGACCAGGCTGCTGCCAAAAGGGTCCCCAACTAGCATCTGGGACAGGGTAGAGAGGTTTGATTTTGTTTATTTGTTTGCTTATTTGTTGCCTAAAGGCTGCAGTGTATTTGGGAGGATTGCCTTAGGAGCTCTTCAGAAGTACAACACCCCTGCAGAAGTCAGCAGACAAGGCAACCTACTTGCAATCAGGTTATACCTATCTTTTTAAAGGTGAAATTTGGGGTGTAGAAATGGGCTAAACTCAGAGCTGTTTATCCAGCCACCCAGACCTTTGGGGTTTCAGATAGTCTGGCTTTGATCTGAATCCCTTTCTAGTTTTGAATAGTGTTTGCCCAACCTTAACCCCTTCCTGCTGTGCCCCTTTAAAAAAACATTTGGTCTCTGAGAAATAGATTTCTGAGAAAGGTTCAGC